CCTCCTCTGCTATATGCTGAAAAGCACGCCCCTGAGTCCTCGGGGGGCTCTGCTCCACCCTGACCTCTACCCGTAATCCTCAAAGTGGTCGGTGCTGCAGCCTGCACCGGTGCTGCAGCAAGTTGTGGATAGTTGGCCCTCATGTGACCAACCTGATGACACTGATAAAAAATCCTCATATCCTGAACTGAGGCTGACTGACGGCAATCCCTCGCATAATGCCCCCTCTGTCCTGCACTAGCGACTCGCACCACCAGACCTACAAACTCCAGTGTGACCCCTCCCGCACTTCCCACAAGTGCGGCTGCTATGATCTCCCAACCTAGTATCAACGGTTTTGGACCGTTTGGGCGCTGGCTGCGACTGTGCCGGGGCTTGTCTCTGCTCCCTCAACTGTAACTCAATCTCCAACTCACGCCGCCGAGCGGCCTCCTGCAACTCCATCTAGGTATTGCACCTCTACATAGACACAAACTGCCTGATATCCCTCTTGAGCACACTCAGATATCGGGACATCTGAGCCTGCTCTGAAGCAAACTCCGGGCAAAACATCACCCTCTCAGTGAACATCCTGGTGATCTCCATCAACGAATTAGAATCCTGCTTCTGTTCCAAGAACTCCTCAGCTAACCTCTCCCTCTCAACCCGTGGAACATAACAGGTACTGAACATCTCCCAGAACTAATCCCACGAAACCGCAGCCCACTGCGCATCCGAATATGACCCCGTGGTCAATCTCGACCAATCCTTCGCCCCGAGCCTCAACAGCTTCAGAGCACACCTCACTCTCTGATCATCAGGGCATGAATATGTGAAGAAACATCCCTCCACATCCGACAACCATTGCATAGCAACAATCGGATCCTAAACTCCATCAAAACTAGGGGGCTTCGTATTATCGAAGTCCCGATACTGAAAACCTCTACTGGCTCCTCCCCCTGTTGCTGCTACAGCCGGTGTAGCTGCCGCAGCAGCCGTCTCTGTAAGAGCCGCATAGCGCTCATCAAAATACTCGACCATGGCGGTCTTGATCGACCCAAACAGTTCTGGCAGCTCGGCCCGAAACATAGCAGCAACCTCATCATGCAGGATCACATGAATCCTAGCGTCCAACTCATCCATACTCATCTGACCGATGACCTCGAGTGGCACCAATCCACCCTGACCGCCCTCTCTTACTCCCGATCCCGACCCGGATCCCCTCCCAGCATGCCTCGTAACCACCATACTAAAAAACACCGCAAAACAACAGCTACCTCCCACTAACCCGGGAATCAAACCCCACCCCAAACCTAGGGGTTGTGACTTCCTTGATACGCGTATGGGTCTTGTGCTTTCAGTATTACGGGCCCGTACTACCTTCCACACCACCCATATTTATATCAAGTATCACCACAACACCCTAGTGATGAACAAGCATAACAAGCACTCAACCCTCACCCCTAGGGGAACACTGGAAATCTCATACAGAAAGAAACCCTAGGCTAGCGGGCATCATAAATCAGACAACACTATCATGTAATTCTTGAAGATCCCTAGCCTAGTACTAGCATGTTGTTCTATCATATCTCATAAACAAATAACGTGTATGGTATTTTGGGGTTACTTACTGGCTCCGGCTGATCATACCTCTGCGTCCTCCATTACTCATTTTTGAAAAACATCTTAAATTTTCTTTTGAAAACTCTCCTTGATTTGAGACTGGATTCACACGAATGTTCCTCCAATTCACTCAAACCAAGGCTCTAATACCAACATGTAACACTCTAAAAATTCCAACCAATTTAAACTTTTCAAAAACAACCCAGCTTCATTATGTTATTACAAAAAGGTTTTCAATACAATTATTATCAGAGTCTTCCCATAACCATATCATAAAACATAAACATGAGGAGCGGTACAATCACGCCTTTGCCTTGCTACGGTCTCTAGGAGTACCTGAAACATTTAAACCACAACTGTAAGCCCGAAAGCTTAGTGAGATACCCCCGAAATACCAACCACATATACCATACACATAACATGTCATATCATAACAGAACACAGAACAACCATGCACTTCGGGTCTACTATGTGACAGGTCCGCCGTACGGGGCCTTTAGTCCACCTGCTCCACCCTCCGAGTCTAGCCATATCCATCGAGTCTGCAGTGTGGTTGGTTCGCCCGCACCGGGCCTTCAACCCACCTAGTCCACTCTCTGAGTCTACAGTATGACTGGTCCGCCCGCACCGGGCCTTCAGTCGGCCTAGTCCACTCTCCGAGACTCGGCACGTCTGGTCCGCCCTCGTGGGGCTTACAGCGTATCCGAACCGCTCGCTGGGCCTTCGGAATATCTGGTCCGCCTTGGGTATGTTGGCCTACAGCACAAAGCAGGACCCGCATCAACCCAACCCCAGTCAACCAACCATGTGCTCATAAACATATAACCATATAACAATTAATCACCAATCAACCGATCTAGCAGATCACATACATAGCATACTATGAACAGGATACTGATCTAACCGGTCACTAATATAGCATCATCTTATGTACCAGGATTCCGACCTTAACAAGGTCTCTAACATATACCATTCTAACTACCAGGATACAAGCATATAGCAAAGCAATAACGTAGCAAATAACAACTACCCAGATTTCCATCCGATAAAGGGCCGTCCTTAGTGCCTTAGACCCTATCGATATAGTGAGGATAACTCACCTCGCAACTGCTGACTGAAAAGATGGGATCACGCTGCTCCAACCTTCGACACGAAATCCACCACTAATCGACAGCAAAAGACTAAACTCAATAAATACCAATAATTACAAAAATACCCTTGGAAGTTAACTAGTCAACTCTTGGTCAAAGTCAAAGTCCTCAGTCAAAGTCAACCTGCCTGACTGACTCTACTTGCCGAGTCAGCCCGCTGACTCGTCGAGTCCCTATGCTCTGAAAACTCCCATATCGCGACCCTACTCGCCGAGTTGCCCCAAGACTCGACGAGTCCCACGAACTCTAAGTCACTTCCTGCTCAACTCACCGAGTCGTCCCTCGACTCACCAATTCACAACTCAACCAAAAATGTTAGGACTTCGCGACCAGACTCGCCAAGTCCAAGAACAGACTCGCCGAGTCCAAGGAAATCTTCAACAGACTTGCCGAGTTGTTCTTCCAACTCATCGAGTTCCTGCCTATTTTCATCCAACTCGCCGAGTACACCCATGTGACTCACCGAGTTCCTCTAGTTCTTAATCCATACAGTGGCTTTCTATGCCTTGCAGGGACTCCCAACCATAGATCTACTCTCCTATAAACCATCCATCACATAAAGTGGCAAAATTTACGTGAATCCAAAGAGATTTAAGCATAATAAACTCTTGGGCTAAGGTTTGGGACAAAAAAACTTCACCTACATCTCTTGGACATAGCCTTTATGGCTCCTTGGATCATTACAAGCCTAGATCTGAGGTTGCAACCTCAGATCTTACACCAAACTCGAGATGGACCTCATTTATGCCCCCAAAAACCCGAAAATCGATTGATCTAGATGCACAAAAGCTCCAGCAACGAATTATTACCTCAAAGGGAAGCTCCAACTAAAGAATGAACCAAGTCTCTGCAAAGCCCCTTGCTCAAACCTTCTTAATCTTCAAGGATCTCTTCACTAAGAACTTATCAAGGTTCCAAAATACTCTCCAATGCTCTCACAAACGAATTTAGGGTTTCTGGACTTCAAAAGGGGCTAAGGGGACTGAAGGGAGGGCAATAAGTCCTTTAAATATGGTGCAACCCCAAAGATTAGGGTTTTTCTCTCTTCAGCACCAACACGCCGAGTCCAGCCGCCGACTCGCCGAGTTGGCCACTTTACACGAGACCAGAATCGTGACTCTACTCGCCGAGTACACCCATGGACTTGTTGAGTTTACCATCCTTATTTACACTTTGAACCCTAAACTTGCACTCCTGAACTCGGGATGTTACACAATGCCTGTTGCTTGTCCGACCTTCACACCAGCTATCTCCCTTTCCTCCTGCTTCGGGTCCGAACCTCGGACCTAGACTCAGTTCCACTTAGAAGCTACCAGCGAGCCCCTGCACGCGCAGCCCATGTGCGAGCCCTTCCCTACGAGCCTCGGATCTTCGCCACCTGGAGGCTTCTCAGCCGTCCGATCAGAAGCTTCTCCCTATAAATAAAAGGCTGCGAGCCTTCTCGGATAGTTTTAAGAAATTGCCATTTTTAGCCCCTTTCTTCACATTTTCTTCATCTTAACATTCCCCAAATCCCCGGTATCGATTATATGTCTCAGAATACGCCACGAAGTGCCTGAGAAGCCCAAAAATTTTATATTTTCGGTTTTGAATCCCAACCTTTGCTGAGCCTGGTTTCTCAATAAAACTCTCGGTTTTATTAGAATCGATCGTTTTAAGCAACGGATTGCTGCTCGATTATCATCAAATCATGTGAGTGTGTAGTCACTTTCATCTTACATATGAATATGTTAAAATGAATAAATTGTTGTTTTATTCATATATGAATAAACGTGTGATAATTATAATTTCGAATTTATTATTTTTTTCGTTTTATTCATATGTGAATAAGTTATGTTTTATTTACATATGAATATGTTAAAATGAATAAATTGTTGTCTGATTCATATATGAATAAATGTGTATTAATTGTAATTTCGAATTTATTATTTTTTTCGTTTTATTCATATATGAATAAGTTATGTTTTATTTTATATATTTTGAATCCTCATGAATTTTATGTATTCATATATGAATGTTTTATTCATATATGAATATTTTTTGTTTTTTTATATGAGTTTTATGTATTCATATATATTATTGTTTTATTCATGCATTATTATTTTAGGTGGTGAATCTTCAAGTTCAGTACAAGATGCATAATATTTTGATGATATAATTGGAGAACATGTCTATAAGCCAGATGTACCTATTCAACTTATTCCTTTTAAGGGTTTAATCTTCAAATCATTAAAGTTGGCTATCAAAATGTATTCTGAGTATGCTGAAATTGGATGTTTTGATGTTAGACTGAGCACACAGTCAAGGTTTGATAACAAGATTATAAAGATGAAACATGTTATATGTAATCGTGGTGGTAAACAAAAAAAGAAATCTTGTGACACATTAGGTACAAGTGGTGTTAGGAGGAAACGAAATTCAAATTCAAGAGCTATTGGTTGTCAAGCAAAGATTATATTTTAATTTGTGTATGGAACTCCAGATTATAAAGTTTTTCAGTTTGATGAACTTCACAACCATCCACTTGAGAAGAGAAGCGATTTAAAAAAGATGAGACAAATGTCATATTCAGAAAAAGAGTTTATTGTGCATGCTTCCACATCAAAAATAGGTCCAACTATGGCTCATAAGTTGAGGGCAAGTCTGAGAGGTGGGTATGAGTTTGTAAAGCCCAAAGTAGTTGACTATAAAAATTGAAGGAGAGATATCAACAGGGTTATTGGTTATAAAGATGCCCAAATGATAGTAAACACAATGAATGACCATCGAGCTCACTATCCAAATTACTCATTTGAGTTTAATTGTCAAGATGATGTTTTGGACTGTATGTTTTGGGCTGATGAAATGGGGAAGGCATATTATGCTGAATTTGGTGATGTTATCTCATTTGATGCGACTTTCCAAACAAACAAGTAAGTTATTTTATCTACTTTGTTTATAGCTTATTCATATATGAATATTTTTATATTCACTTATTAATACATCAAAAATTGACTCTAATGAACATTTTTTTTGTGTGTTAGGTATCGAATGGTTTTTGTTTAGTTTACTTCTATTGACCATCATAAAAAACCGGTTACTGTTGGATCTGGGTTGCTAAGTAATGAAATCATTGAGTCTGACTCTTGGTTGCTTAAAGCATTTCTTAAAACTCATGGGAAAGAACCAACACTTTTTTTAACTGATCAAGATGCTGCAATAAAACAAGCTGTTGAGAATGTGTTTCGTAATTCAAAGCACCGATTATGTATGTGGCATATAATGAAAAAGTTGAAAAAAAAGGTATTATTTTAATATATTTCAAATATATTACTTATTAGTACATTCATTTATGAATATTGATTGTTATTTTACTTATTATTATTTTTTCATTTATGAATATTTTTGTTTTAATACAGATATCAGATGATTTATTTACAAACACAGACTTTAGAAAAAGGTTTTCGAAGCTTGTTTGGGACAATAATATGAAACCTGATGTTTTTGAGGTGAAGTGGGGTTTGCTTATGAAGGAATTCAATCTTGAAGACACAAGATGGTTTAAAGACATGTTTACAATACGTGATTCATGGATACCTGGATATTTTAGTGATATTCCAATGTGTGGTTTGATGAAGACTACATCGAGGTCAGAGAGTATGAATTCATTCTTTAATACATATTCAGAAAGTGGGAACTTACTTTTGAATTTCATGATGAATTACGACATTGCCATTCAAAAGCAAAGGAATACTCAACGAGATCTTGATAGGGCATCAAAGAAAGCATCATATAAAATGCAAACACCTCGAGAAATAGAACTGCAAGCATCAAAGGTTTATACAAGTACATTGTTTTTTGAGGTGCAAAAAGAAATATATAAAGCATGTTTTTTCTGTATGTACTCATATGTTGGTATTGAAGATGGTTGGGAAGTTTACATTATACAGCCCAACAACAGTAAACGTGATTTTAAAAATGAATTTAAGGTAATCTTACTTGTTTTTTATGAAAATTGTAATAATATTCATATATGAATATGATAATATTCATATATGAATATATCAATATATATGAGTATTGATATGAGTATTTGTAACAACCCAAAATTTTCGTACCACTTCTTGTAACTCTTTCGTAGTTCAATTCAAGCAACCAATCGTCGTTTTCAAATTCGATTCCGATTTTCTTATTTAATTAAGTCATTAACTTGTACATATCTAAAATGACTTAATGGGTGTCTTAATACAATTAGAAATCATTTTAACACCCCATATTAGTGATCGGAATATTTCTAGAATTTACCATATCGGGTTACGGCAACTTAATCGGGTACGACCAAAAGCCTCGCCTAATGCCGGTATCGGGTAGAATTCCATCGTGTCCAAAACTTAGACACTATATAATGTGTTCTAAGCCTTCATTTGAAGCTTTTGTCTTCATCTCACTACTCTCTCTCTAACCTCTCTCCTCACTCCAAATTAAGGTCCAAAATCAAAGATTTAAGGCTCCAAATCATAGAGGTAACCTTCCTAGCTTGTTATTCAACCTCTTAGGCCTTCAAATCCGGGATTAAAATGAGATTTAGGACCTGGAACATGTGTTTACGGCCAAGGAGGAAGCTTGGGCCGTAAACACACAAAAATGGGGTTTTTGAGCCATTTAACCCTTCCAAATCATAGTTGGGACTTAGATACGCCTTTGAGGCTTACAAACCTGGACTTGGAACACCCTAAACATGCATTTTGAGGGACAAACAAGAGTTTACGGCCAAGGCATGTGCTTGGGCCATAAACTCCTCAAACATTGGGGACAAACTCATTTTTACATGTTAGAATGCCTTGAAACTTAACCAATAGTCTTGTGGTAAATCCTAGAACCATCTAAAAATAGTTTGGGGACCTTAAACACATCAAATACCCTACATATGAGAGTTTACGGACATAGAACATCTCCTGGGCCGTAAACTCCAATAAGTGTGTTAAATGGTGCCCTAAATCCATAACAAGGTTTGGAAAATTAACTAGAATCACATGTGATTGTCCTTTGTACCTCAAATTAATCATTCTTGACCATGGGTGAGTTTACGGCCGTAAACTCCAAGTTTAGGGCCGTAAACTCCCTTTTAAGTGGTATAAATTCATTTAATCAACTCCAAGGCATTTTAGAAATCCATTCGAACAATCCCCATGTCCAAACAAGCCATTAAACACTCAAAATCATACCAACATGAGTTTACGGCCGTAAACTCATGTATGTGTGTGTTTTGTGGCCGTAAACTCCCTTAAATGTTTACTCTTGGGGAGTAAACTCAAATCCCAAGTCCCTAGTGCCATTACACGTCCGAAGATGTCACCCGGGTCACTCCAAACGCTCGTTTTGAGGTGTTTAACCTCGTTGGAGTGTAATGTTCCATATAATTAGTGATTGTAAATCTAATTAGATATATATGGACATTATTACATTTTACATAGGGACATCGTGAGTAATCAAGCCCCGAACCAACGTCTAGTGTTCGAAAACGTCGCATTTCCGAGTCCGGTGAGTTCATACCCCTACCCTTTTTCACTGTTTTCACTGTTTTCACGGGAGAACACAAGCAAAGTACAAGAGATTACTTGTACTCAAAACATGTTTTCAAATGTGTATTTCACATTATTATATGCTTTTAACACTGATTACTACAACTAATAACCATTTGAACACGCCGATCAAGTAACATATATTTGTGAAATGGGTTTTAAACTGTTATGTTTTACATATATTTCACAAATGGTCTTCCACATTTTATCAGTTAAAAGCATGACATTAGACATTTGAATATAATACATGTACATTGTTTTGTCCTCGGCAACACTCCACATATATACGCGAGTGGAGGACTATCATATGATTACTAGTAAATTTGTTAATCCTGTATGATTGGAGACACGTCCTCGGCGAACACACCACAGAGATACGCGAGTGGAGGACTACACCCGTAACCAGAATCTCTGGGATTTAGAGAGCGTGACTTGAGTGTATAGATTTATACGGGGCTGACTACCCCACACCTGGCTGCTAGCTACAGCCGAACCAAAATGGTTCAAGGGTGACGAAAGTCATAAGTATGTGGACTACTTATCGCCACAGGTTTAGTCCATCGTATGGTTATGGAACTCACAATTAGGATAACAGAGATTTACTTATAGTAATAATGAACAAGTTTATACAATTCACAAGATATCCAGGTCTAACAAGAATACATTTTTCACATACGGTAACCAACATTTAGGAAAGTATGGGACTTTCCTGGGAAACCTTGTACATAACCAGGTCTAATAGGAATACATCTTTTACATACGGTAAAAAACATTCAGGAAAGTATGAGACTTTCCTGGGGAACATTTACATAACCAGAAAGGATAACAAACCGGATAACTTTACATCTTTCACAATTGGTAACACAATCAGGAAAGTATGGGACTTTCCTGGAAATACATTGGTACATAACCAAAACAGTATGTCAATCCAGATAACCTAACTATACATCTTTACAAGACTATACATCTTTACATGTTTTTCAGTGTACAACTTTACTTTACATGTTGATAAACGATAACCAACCTTTTAAGAAAATATGGGATTTTCTTGGTGCATAAAATTTCAGAAACAGAAAGGAAACTTGAACATTTTCACAAAAAAAATTGCTTATGAACTCACCAGCATTGTGCTGATTTTCAAACCGCTTGTCTTCTCAGGTCAGCGTTAGAACAGGTTCCCGAAGATTTTTCGCTCGAAGACGGAGTACTCAGAAGACCCGTTTCATTTTGCTCATATATATATATATATATATATATATATATATATATACTATGTATCACAATTGTACAAACTTTACTTTTGAAACAACTGTAAAACTTTTCTTATGTAATGTAATGGTTGTTTTACTTTACTTACTATGTGCATTAGATTTGATACTCAACATCGAGTCAACCCCGAAAATGTTTCCGCCTTCGGTTTTCGGGGTGTGACAGATTGGTATCAGAGCCCTTGTTTATAGTGAATGAAGTATACCAAACCTTACATGGTATAAAACTATAAACACTAAAGGGCCTAAGTGCTCTGAATTAAAAGTATCTTCAAACTACAAGTATTTTCAAAAGTATACAAGTATACCGAACCGTCAAGATCCGTAACCACAAGTAAAACAGAACATAAGTAATTGGGTGTTGTGTACTACAGTTAAATCTGGGCAGTTATGTAGTCGTGTCTAGGATCAATATAGCCTGGCCAACTATATTCATTCGAGACACGGCCAACATGTGCTTGGGAGTGACTGTGGTGTGCGGCATGCCTAAAACTTACCCTAATATCCCAAACATCGAACCATTGTCGTAATCAAATCATGAAATAGTTTGGGAGTATTTCTCGATCCAATCCTATATAGAAATCCTTATTCGAGTGGCGTTCTGTGATCATTCTTAGCGATAAATTATCTGTTTTGATAACTCTTTCCTGCTTTATCGCTTATTCGGAACATATAACTGCCATATCTATCGATTCAATGTAGAGGACTTACCATCCTCTCTTTTTCTTGATCTTATTAGATCGAGATGCCTCCCAGAAAGAGACCCAGCTCAAAGAACAACAACAATCCTTCTTCGCCACCAGCTCCTCCTCAATTTGACCTTGCATCACTCCAGACAGTCTTGACTGCTGCAATGGTGGCAGCCATGTCACAAATGAACCCTGGTGGTTCAGGAAGTGGTCCCCAGCCCCAGAACCCCGAAGACGGCCGGGGACACCGAAGGGATGGTTCCTATAAGGATTTCATGAATGCGAAACCAACATCCTTTAATGGCGCCGGAGGTGTCATTTCCTTATCCCGATGGTTCGAAAAAAATCGAATCCATCTTCGAAATCTGTGCCTGCGCGAAATCTGATAAGGTCAAGTTCGCAGCCTGTACCTTCGTTGATAAATCCTTGACTTGATGGAATGGCCGAGTCAAATCTCTGACCCTACCTGTAGCCAATGCCATGGGCTGGGAAGCCATGAAAGAGCTCCTCATTGCTGAATACTGCCCCTTGGTGAAATGCAAAAACTAGAGCACGAGCTCTGGAACCTAAAGATGAAAGGTTCCAACGTTGCTGCATACACTTCCCGATTCGATGATCTTGCACTTCTCTGCCCGGGATTAGTAACTCCTGAAAACAAAAAGATCGAAAGTTTCATTTGGGGGTTATCCCAACCGACAAAGAGTCATGTATTGGCTACCCGTCCAGATACCTATGATAGCGCCAAGACTTTAGCCCAAACCCTGATTGATCATAGCGATGATGTTGAGGAAATCACTACCACTTCCGAGCCGACTCAAATGAGTGGTGAAAAGAGAAAATTCTGGAAGAAGAAGAAGGGTCAATCTTCCCAAGGATCTTCCAAGAAACAGCAGACTGTAGCAGTCCATGCTGCTACTACCCCCATTGCTGCTGCTTCTGTTATGGGATCCACAGCTCCAACTCCTACTAGTAGATATGTTGGTAATCTTCCTTTGTGTGACAAGTGAAAATACCATCACAATCCTGGCCCCTGCCGAGAACTATCCTGTACCAACTGTGGTAAGAAAGGGCACACAGTTCGATTTTGCAAAACTCCGACCCAATCGGCCAACCAGTCATCTGGAGCAGGCTTTAGTCAAGCTTGCTACAACTGTGGAGATGTTGGGCACTTTAAAAGGAACTTCCCCAAGAAGTCAACAGCTGATAACACTGGAGGGGTTCTAACCATGGGACGGGAGGAAGCAGTCACCAATCCCACTGTTGTTTCGGGTACGTTCCTTCTCGACAACTCATATGCTAGTATTATTTTTGATTCGGGTGCTGAAAGGAGTTTTGTTAGTCATACATTGAAACATAACCTAAAACGTAATCCCCAACCACTAACTGAAATGTTTACCGTCGAGATGGCTAACGGTGAGAAAGAAAGCGCTAACGATGTATTCATAGGTTGTACG